CACACACACACACACACACGCACACACACACACACACACACACACACACACACACGTGCGTGCACAATTACATTTTTATAAAGGATACACCTAAGCTGCTTATGAACGCACAAATGGTTGGCAAATGGAAACATACAAATATATAGATGTATATGTGTATGTATGTGAGTGTATATATACATATATGTATATTTTAGGGCATGGTGTGTGCCACTGTGGTTAGCTCTTGGCATTCGCTAGCTTGTTGCGAGCGTCTATTATGAGGCGAAAAGTAACGCTAATGAGTAAATCAAGAGCACATGTTGTGTGATGAGGTCCTTCGAAGCCTTCGAATCCTTGGATGCCATGGATGCCACATACTCCTACGCAGCCTTTGAAGCTGGGCCAGATGGCGTGTTGAAGCATAAATAAGCCGCCGACCTCTGCGTCGCGCTCCCCCGCGCTTGGCCCCGTTTTAATAGCTAAATTATGTAATCATGATGTGTGATACTCACACACACACACTCACACACTATACACCACTACACACACACGCACACACTTGAGCAGCTACTGTGGCCCCTTTCCAAGGCTCGTGTTGTGGCATTTATGCAAATCCTGCTGTCGCTTCTTGTGAGAAACTTTTTGCTTGGCAGCAGAGCCGAGCCGCGCGCGTCGAGAGCACAGCAGCGCCACGCCCACAGCGCCCTCTTTTTAATTTGAAATTTTTCATAATGAGCAGAAGGAGGTGGTGTTCGGGGGCGTGGCAGCCAACTGGGATACGCTTTGACGTTGCCATAGTGTGAAGATTAAATTCTACTAATTAGAGACGTCGAGTGGAATGTTCGCGCTTTTGTAAGCTAGTGTGTGTGTGTGTGTGTGTGTGTGCATTGAGTGGCAGCAACTGCTCCGAGTGTGACTGCCTCATTGGGCAAAGGCAAACAAAATGGCGCTGAACTCGAAAGCAGCAGTCAAAGACCCCGCACAATAAACCACTAATCCCCACTAGAACCACCCATAGCCATCCAGAGGCACTCGCTCTATGCTTTAGCGCTCTTATTGATATACCAAGCGTAAAAAGTTCAAATCCCCAAAACAAACAACGCCAACAACTACTCCCGCAACTCAACTCGATTCAACTCCGAAAAACCCAACTCGATTCAGAATTGTGTAGAATTTCAAATGAAAATTTCGCTTCTCTTTTTTTTTTTTTTGTTTCTCTGCTCCCTCGTCTCGGAGAAGGGAACAGTTTTAAGCTGAAAATTCTAGCGGAGCAAAGCTGATTTCAGTTAGTTTTTCTAGCGCAAGCAAAGCTTGTTCTATTTAATTATTTTTATTTTTATTTTTCATTTTGATAATACTTCAGCAGCTTATTCCAATTATTTGTTATATATTTCGAAATTAGTTTGGGGCGAGTGCAAAGTTTTTCCTTTAATTATTTATCATGTTTTCATAATGCTTTTTATGAGCAAAACTTTATTTTATATTTGCTGTTTTATAGTTTTTGAAGTACACAATTAAAAATAATACAAGATAATAATAAACTCCCAGCTTAGTTTTATATTATTTGTCTGATTTTTTGAAGTCGGTTTTTATTGAGTTTTATTTGCATTTTTTATAGGGATTTTAATGCGCTTTTCAAAGATTTTTTTATTATCAAAGAAGCTTAAATAATATAAAATTAATTTCGATACAGAGCTGAGCTTACCTAAGGGATTTACTGGGTTAAAGAGGCGTTTGATATGAGTGCAGCATTGTCTGACCCTAGAGGTTGTAGAGGAAGATATATTGACTTGCAATAAAGCACTAGATGATCAAATGTAAAACTAGACTTGATTTTTAGCTGAGAAGAGGAATTTTATCACTATTGAAATGACCTATATGAAGCGATCGGGCGAATGTATTTGAGTGGGTAAATCCTCTTAAGTCTTTTGTGTTTTCCTTGGCGGAGTCTTCTGATAATTAAATTTGGGTGAGCGTCGCACTTGCAGTCATATGGGAATCATCTACTAAAACTTCTGTAAAAATTGAGCCAAGAGTACAAATATTTATTGCTGAAGACAGTAATCAGAATTCTGTATGTTTTATCAAGCATCTCTCGATTTAGCAGGAGTAGACTTCTAACCATCGATTGTTCAGCTTGACCTTTTATTTTACTAAACTGTAATACGGTTGCACCTTATGCAAAGCAAATACTCTCTTACTTTTGGTATGCTATGCTTAAATTGAGATCTAAAAATGATGATATACATCATCTCAATTTATTTAAATTTTCCAATGACTTTAATTTATATTTTTATATATATTGGTATTATTTATTTATATAAACATATATCTACATACATCTGCTCACTATTTGAACAAGATTATTGTTATTATATTTTTTAGACTTACAAATATATACATACATAAAAAATTATTAATGTTCAGCATATTTCAGTCATGAATAAAATGAATCAATCATGTCAAGATTTTCGTTTACATTCAGCACGTGTGACATTCACATAGGTGTATTCAGCATATATATTTATATATATATATTCCTATATAAACACCTCAGGTAATTATCTTTTAGAAAATCAAATTTACATCTTATAAAATATATATTTAGCTCTTTTGAATTTCAAAGCGCTGTTAGCCTTGATTCGTTCTAAATGTAAAATGTTCTTTTGAAAAACCGAAAAATTCGTGGAAAACTATAGAACACACATGAGAGAGGGAGAAAGAGAGTGAGAGAGGGAGGCAGAGTTTGTAACACCTTCTGATATGTGTGTTGGACAGTGTAAAAAATGAGCATGTCAAGTGAAAAATTAATTTATTTTGTTGTTGCTGTTGTTTCGTATTTTTGTTTTTAACAAATGAACTTTTGCGCGTGTCATAAATGTGAAAATAATTAAAAATGGATGGTGTTTTAGTATGAGTATGGAGTGTGTGTGTGTCTGTGTGCGTGTGTGTGTGTGTGTTTCAGTTTTTGCTGCCACATGCCACACATGTTGACCATGACAGCTGGGCTTGGGGTGGGGGTTGCGGCTGCGGCTGGGGCTGGGGCTGGGTCTGGGGAATTGAGGGAGAAGGAGAAGTCTAACAACTAGTTGGCAACTTTATTCGGATACGAAATGTTAGCCAACTTTGCTGCTGTTTGGCCTAATTAAAAAAAAACTAACATAATTTAAGCCGCAGGCATGGCCATGCCGGAATTATACATAGTATACCCTGTAAATTAATTAAAATATGAGATAGATAAAGCAAAAGTTGAGCAAATCCTTAGAGGAAACTCAAAAAATATATTTTACAATTATTTATAAACATATTTTCAATAAAGCAGCTCTTGCATATGCTCTTCGCACTCAACAGCTAGGGTATTCGCCAGTCAAAAAAAAAAGTTAACTGCGGCAGAAAAATTGGTATTCCCTTACAATTTGACTCCAACTTAATTAACTAACGACTGTAAATGGATTGCGCGGGGCCGAGGGAGGCCTCGCTTACTAAATCAATTACGCAATAAAAGGACTGACAAATTGCCAGGGAGGAGGAGTGGGGAGGAGGAGCGGCGTTGCAGGAGACGGGATAAGCAGCAGCAGGAGCTGGAGCTGGAGCAGGAGCTGGAGTAGCGCCAGTGGCTGGTTACACATGCAGCTAAGTGAGTTGTCATACCGAAAAAGGGAAGCGAAATTAAATTAAATAAAAGCAGGCGAAAGGACGAAAAATGCGTTTTTAATTTTCAACAGCTGAGCTTGTGGTTACAGCGGGTGAAAAGGGAGCAGCGGGGGGCGTGGCAGTGGCAGGGACAGGGGCAGGTGACTCCTCAGTCAGTCACTTGGGCGCACAGCTTCCTTGCTGCCTGACAGAGTGCCATTCACTTTGATGTTTTACTCCATCAGCTTCTCTCTCTCTAGCCCTCTCTCTCTCTCCCTCGCACACGTTCTGAAATTATATTTTAAGAGCCAACTCTTACCTCATCTCCACCCCACTCTCTTTCTCTCTTCCTCTCACACTCTGTCGGTGGCAACTGCATCATCTTGTTGGGTCATAAAAAGTAATGACAGCAAAATTTCACTCGCCTGGCTCACCCGCTCGATAATGACGAACGAAGAGTCGGCAATGGGAACGGATGAACGAAAGAACAGACGGACGGACGGACGGACGCAGTGCAAAAAAGTAGCTGAAGTAGTCAAGAAGTAGATGCCGCTGTGTCATGCACTGCAAGAAATTTGCAGATAAAAGTCGCTGAAAATAAACGTGTTTATAATGTAAATTTTATATAAATGAAGTATGAGAATGGAAATTAGGGTAAAAGAGGAGAGCTTATGCATACAACAATAGCTTCATAAGTAATTAATTTTTACATATTTTATTATATTAATATTTTTATAAAATATTGTTATGTATACGTATTGAAATTTATAAATTTTTAATTTAATTAAACAAATCGGAGTATATAAATAAAATTTTTATTATAAAATATTATGTATAGGAATTCTAATTAAGTAATTAATCACTATCTGAAAAAAACCAATAAAAGTTGAAAAATAAAAATATAGAATATTTTCTATATAAGATATTCATAAATGAGATCTATTTTGTAGCCTACACTGTGATCTAAATTAACAAATCTGTTTATTATCATTTATTAAAGCTCTTCATTGCTTTTGGGGAGTAAACAAATTTTTTAAATGGTATGATTTCATTCATCAAAAATAGAGCAAAATACTAATCAAATCAGTTTCGAACCCTGAAGAACACGTGTAACAAAAAAATGCCTTGCTCAATCTATTATGTATGCTTGATTAACTTTAAGCTAATCTCTATTAATTAAGATCTTGGTTTGATCATTAAACATATTTAACACTATGCCAATTCGTGTCTAGACATGCAAATAATTGCAAATCTATAGAGCTAAACCGTTTGTTATCTATATAGATAGATAGATAGATTCTCATAGCCAAACATCTCTCTTTCTACTTCTCTTGTACACTTTGATTTCTTGCAGTGTATGCGTTCGTCTTCCTCAAAGGTTGTGGCACCCTCAACAGTGCTTTGAGCTCAGGCCAACCGCCCCCGCACGCACGCCCTGCCGCTGCTGTTGCACAGTGCCACGCTGTGTTTCCTGCCACAGAGCGGCAAGAGGAAGCAATTATGAAAGCGGCTGGCAGCACATTCAACTCCCAGCTGCAGCTACCGCTCCAGCTCCAGCTCCAGCTCCAACTTGAAGCTTCAATTTCCAATTGGAAGGCAACGCCTGCACATGCAACGCCTGCTGCTTGCTGCCCCTGTCGCTGCCCGTGTCTCTGCTGTCAGCTGCGAATCTCTATATAATGGACGTTGCAGCTACTTTTTGCCATGCCCACCTTGCCATCCTCCCACCTCGGCAGCGCACAGCTTCCATCGCCTCGCGCAGCTCGCAGCTCGCAGCGCGTGTTGCTCATAAGATAAAGATAATAGAAAAGTTGAATTTATAGCAAAACACTTTTCAATCATGCAACCAAAACGTGTGGCACCAGTCCATGCCCCCAAAAAACTGTGGCGAATCGTAGGGGGCAACTATGCTGGGAGCCACGAGCCCTGGCACTAAGGACCTGAACCCTTCGTCTTCGTGTTGCAGGCAGCGCCAAATCATTTCCGCAACACTTGCTTATTCACTTTGTTGTTGTCGTTATTGTTGTTGTTGTTGTTGCTGTTGTTGTTGTTCTTATTCATGTTGTTTTGTTTCTGAATAACGCCAAAGTTAATGGATGCTGCACTTGGTGAGCTAAGGGCTTACCAACTTCAAGATACCCTAGCCGGGAGGAGCAATGAATGGAGAGGCAAATATGTAA